ATACCATAAGTGTTAGTTAGCAAACTTTTGACGTTATACTTCGAATCAGACTGAGAACATTTAGATCATATTGATGGCAATAGATATGTGGTCTGTAAACCCGTAAATCTCACGCTTGGGTTCACTCTATGGTGTGTGACTGTTGCATAGTAGGCCAAAATGATGCCTAATGGCCGCGTGATAATTTATTTCGAGAGCCAATTGTAATCCTAACAATCTTGATCACTATTTTAATAATATATGCATTGTACTATCCTCCCTTCTATGCTAGTCAGTTGACGAATGTTCAAAATGCATTCAAATCATTCATTCCCCATTATTCATTTAGTCGGATGTTAATGAAAATCCCGCTATAACATGTGCAATTATAACAGTATCATTTCGAAATCACACAAACATCCTGTAACTGTGATCTATCATAGGTTGACCAGAAGTGAAGGGGAGTCTAAAATGCAGTTTAGTAAATATCTCCATGGGAAACCAAGGTTCTCCCTGCTAATGCTAATTACTTTTCATCACACTCTTCAGTTTGTTACATATCTAGTATGGAGATCAAACAGATGGTAATCGAGATAGAATCTAGCCGCCCCATTTTGTGTAACCGATACATGTTGATGCTGTAAGTTAATTTCTAGAGAAGATCAAACCGTTCAGTTTTATTAATGAAATACTGGCATTAGCTCCAACTTCGGTTTATCTTTTGTGGTGGCCTAACCAAGGTACGTTAGCTGAAGTACATGTGTTCCTAGGTCATATCATCTTGCCCCCGAATGCCCTGGTACGGCCGAGAGTGGGGTGAGTCCGCTCTCCCTCTCGAAATACTCTCACACGGCCGCGCGTATACAGCCTCTGCCAGGGAAGTCCTACTCATTGCCTTCTCGTGGCGGGGGTGTTGTTTACGAAAATGAGAGGACGAAAAGCGAATGTCCGGCGCTTTAACCGGATCACAAACCAATGGTGCACATGGGCTCCAGTATCCTGCGGGAACAAATGGCGTATGAACCAATCTTTGGTCACCGGCTACCATGGGATTGCATCTCCTTACGATGCTCCACTGCCTTGTGGGTTAGACCTTTAGGTCAAAGGCTCGGGGAGTGGCCCCCTAAGAAAACCACCTGCTTCGGTTTGGGCACCCGGGCAGTATCACAGCCCACACACAATCGATGAACCCTATGTCTTTGGCAACTACTTTTATCGCTCCGAAAAACAATCAGTCGATTCAAATAATTATCATTACTATTATTGTCGTTATTATTATTATTATTTCCCACATTATTTCCTATATCATCTTAAGTATATAGACCAAAGAACAGGTTGCTTTAATTACACAAAATACGAGAAAATCTCTTGATCAAAAGGATTTCTTCTAACCCCGAAAAAATTTACTTCCCAATTTACTTTGAAGCAAAATTAAAATAATCCACTGACCTTTGGTTTAAAAAATTTATGATCAGGAAGTGTTCTTTAGCGTTTCTGGCATTCCGTATATCATGACCAGCATTTATTAAGAACTAAACTCAGATACAATTGAAGTCGATTTAACTACGACTAACTAGGACCTAGAACATTTAAAACAGCGATTTCGTAGGTTAGGTGAGGTATACTTCATATATCTTTAGAGGAAAGCGCTAAATAAACACTTTAAGAGAGTGTGGTATATCATCTTACATATATTTATATCTGGTTAGATTTCACAGCCTGTGATAATAAAAAGGATAATACATTAGGTTTGCCATTGAAAAGTCTTTCACATGACTAAGTACTAAGACGGATTATTTCAAATCAGGTTAAACTTGACCATTTTCTTTGTTTGTTTTAATATCACTAAGTAATAGCCACTTTAGAATACTTCCAAGGCGAACAAAAAACGTTCCGGTAACGCGGTAAAGGTGACATGGTTGAGATGTTTGTCGGGTTTTAAAACTCAGTAATATAAAATTCCGTTAAATTTACAACACAATTCAATCTCTGTTACAGACTGTCACAAAGTATTTATACTTTTTGCTACTTGTTACTAGAATTTCTTATCGAACTATGAGAAATCTACCTCCCGGTCAGTCATAACCAGAGTAGAACCTGGCACATTTGCATTGGTTCAAGCAGTCATATCACCTACGAAGTGCAAAAGTACTTCTACAAGAGTGGCAGGATTCTAACCCTGCACTCACCCTGGATGGTGAGCAGATAGAAGTAGTTGAGAAGTTCGTGTATCTAGGTAGCTGCATAAGTGCTGGTGGAGGTGTGAGACCAATGCACGTATAGTGAAAGCCAGAACAGCTTATGTTAATCTGGGTCACCTTGGCGCCTTCGTAATGTTAGTCTGGCTGTAAAAGGTCGGATCTACAACGCGTCGGTGAGAGCAGTTTTGCCCTATGCTTGTGAAACCTGGCCTCTCCGAGCTGAGAATGTTAGACGACTCTCTGTGTTTGATCATCGTTGTCTCCAAGGGATTGCTGACATCCATTGGCAACACCACGTTAGTAATGCAGAGGTTTTGCATCGAGTGTTCGGGTGCAGAAACGATAATCCAATTGATGTCACTATCTTGAGACATCGACTTCAGTGGCTTGGACATGTTCTACGGATGTCGTCCCAGAGAATTCCACGTCGTGCATCACTTGCCGACGCTGGAACTAGTTGAAGGCGGAAAAGTGGTCAGTGTATGACATGGTTTCGGGGTATGAAAGAAAGTTGCAAAGGGCTGGCTTGTGTTGGTCGTTCAAGACTCCCTGTCCGGGGTCCTTGAGATGGTGCAACACAGTGGCTAGATACGTTATCAGATATGGCTCAAAATAGAAGCCAGTGGCGATCCTGCTGTAACCTTCTTGTACTTTCTTCATAAAAAGTGGTTGGAACTTCCTTAACTGAAAGATTTTTTTTGGTTGCACCTTTCCGTTTCCCCCATTATTATTATTATTACACTTCCTTACGTTAATCTGTTCTTTATTGTTCATCTTCTTTTTTTCGTTTGCGCTCCTTACCTTTTTATCTCCCCATTCTCATTGTTTCGTGTGGCGCATTTATATTTGGTGCCCCCTTGTACCAACATTTGTGTTCAAATAAATAAAGTAATATCACCTTAAATGACACGGCTCAAAATCGTTTGCAATGGCGCAGGTGCATACACTCTTTGTGTTCTCCCAAATTCTAATCTTCTGAATTCTTCATGTCCCTTTTTTTCTCTTTCCCAATTTACTTCACCAGATTGTACTTCTTGAATAACACGTTCAAACCCTAATCTTTCCGATTACTGTTTATACTCTTACTACTTCTACAACTACGGGATTTGAATCGACAACTGCATCTCTGTGCTAATGCGGCATGGCAACTCGAACTGATGTACGTACGTACGAAGTTCTACGTTGTTACTGACTGACCAATTGGAAGTCACATCACATTAACACAGTGAGATAAATCCTATGATAGTAGATGTAAGGACAGTACCACTTGTAATAGAAAAGGTTAGATATGGGAGGAAGAAACCATGAGGATTTGGGACTCAGGATCTGAAAAATTACAATATGACCAATTCTAATCTATATCATCCAAGGTCTCCAAGCACTGGTTATGTCAATCCCAAGGACTCCAATCAAGTAGTCTCAACATGGGATAAGTGAAGTGATTGATACATCCAACTATTTATTTCCTTACCGTTAGTTTAGACTGATGCAGGCCGATCCTGACCTTTAAATTATTCACTAACTGTCATTTACATCGGGAAGCGTATATCAAAAAACAGGGTAACAGCCCAAGCAAGGTCAACAGAGGCAATGCTATTATTGTCTCATAAGTTCTCGAGGAAATGCTGGTACGTGTTGATAAAGTCCTTGCTTCCGTTATTTGCAATGAATAAAGAAATGTGCCATTGAGGTAAGTATAAATTGCGCTGTTTAATACGACTGTATTCCACATAAGAGGGTGATTGCTAAAACACTTAACCAGTCACTAATAAAATATGACATGTAACGGGTGTGTTTTGTTTCACGTTGCCAATCCTTAGAGCAAAACAGTGTGAGAAATAATTTACATGGAATCAAAGAAAATAATCATACCAATTTGTGCAGAAAACCGAGTAATATAAATAATTTTAAAGGAAGGGAAAACATGGGATGAAATCAAGATGTACAGTTAAATGGGGAACGAAAGCGACCGCAACCAATTTTGCGTTGCGATCTATGATTTTGGAAATTGATTACAACCACTAAGCGGGCCCCAACCAAGTAACTCGCTCCTTCTAACAGGCTTCAGACTAACAATCAGTGACTTGATGAATTATCGGTCTTTGTTTAGCCGCTCTTAGCTTTATTCCAACCAACTCGGAGTACGCAATAAAGGTTTACAGCCACCTCAGCCAACGTGTGTTTTCCGATGAAGTCATTTTATTTAATCAGAAATATGTCTAATACACGTTTTGTGTGAGATGTTTTTCACTATTGAAATGGGTCTTCCGTGGTTAACAGTAAGACACATAAGTCACTTGTTACAAAAACCAATTGAAGAACCACCGGACAAAACGCTAGAACTGTGATTCTAAATATTTACAAATTACAATGACAAGTACGAGTAATCCCATAAACATAGATGCTATCGCCATGAAAAAAAACATAGAACGCAGTAATTTAATAATTTGATTCGAACGATTACTTTCGAAACAAATGACTGAATGGTTATTGAAGTTATTCTAGCAGTTGAGCTACATCAATAATCTATATAAAATTGTTGGCTGAATCTATCTTGCAAGCTCCAAATAATATCACAAACTATTAACGAAATTGAGTTAACGTATTAGTAATGAAACTATTGGGATGATTAAAAGTGAAATTGGTACAGCATATACGAGAATACACAGGGAATGACGCTTCTGATGAGCGACCCAACACACTACACAAAAAGAACTCTGATCTTGTTTTTCGTATATTTGGGTCTTATCAGGCAAAACCAAGTGTTAGAGGTTGTAGTTTGATGGAATACACTATGGAGTATTTGAATTGAGAACTAAACTATGCCTCAGGACGTTCTGGAGGAGGGCCACATGGCTGAAGCATTTTCTCGAGAAGGTTAAATCGAACTCTCGCCTTGCACTCATTTTCGCATATAGCAAACAAGTTAAGTGTGTCGAAGTGACCCAGATAGGATGCACAACTATCTCTATGCTGGTTTGTTAGCCATTCCCACTTGGTGGTGTCAGCATGACCTGTACCTAAAAGAAAAAGAATATTAATGGCATCAGAATGTGGCGTACCAACATATTTCGACTGCAAATGTTCTAACTGGGTATGAATATTGTATCGATCACCCATTTTCAGAGGTATATTACTTAATCTATAACAACTTAAAAACAAGGTACCAGGAGAAACGCAAACACTTGAGCATGGCGGGGTACTGCGAGACACAAACTTTATTTAACAGAATGGTTCAAATGTATACTACATATTATCTTATCTTGGAGAGCCGAAAAGCAAACTTGTTCACTGGGACCACAGTTCGGATAATAGAAGAGAGCGTTCTTGATCACGGAACTGACTGATTCTTTTATATTCCTTGTGGAACTTGATGAGCATAAAAGAAATCAGTTTATAGTGGAAGTGGACTTGAAGTATAACCTAGATCAGTCAGACATGGTACCCATGGAACTAAAATAAGTGTCTAATATTCCTATGAACGACTCTCAAGTAACCGCCGTTACCACAGCTTGGTGATTCTAGCCAAGAAAACGTTTGTGCGGAACTTTGTTCGAGCTCGTTTGTATACTGTTTCCAAAGAATATTCTCTGAAGTCTGATTTGTTACCCTAGCATATTCAAGCTCTGTTTTGGACATTTCCGAATCGATATTTTATGGTTCTATTTTCCCATGTCTTTCTTAATACACAGGTCACAAATTCAAAGCTTTCAGGAAAGCTGAACAGAAGTTGTTTATTAGTTCAGGAAACTTTCAAGTTTCTCGCTTTTAGACTCGTCCCAGGACAGCAATTTTCCTCAAAACGTGGGGAGATATAATGTAGAAGTTCCGAATAAGACTTCAACTGAGCAGTGAAAACGGTTTAAAATAATTTGAATTTAGGCTACTGAAAGAGACCTCGGGAGTGAATAAGCTTTATTGGTTACACAATGTCAATAGAAAGTAAACACGTAGACTGTCACGTAGAAAAACACTCAGGTCCTTTTCATTAGTGAGGAGTACGATAGTGGAATCTTTTGAAACGTATGGGATGGCCAGAACATTTTTAGTATTTACGAGTGAAGTTCTGCATATATAAGTATTAAAGGTTGGCTTTATTTGGTAAGGTTGTGTCTCTTACAGCAGTCATTCAGCTGCAATGTAGGATCAGGCACAAATATTCATCAGCCCAAGTTGCCATACCTCATCACCACGACAAGATGAACACCGGATTCATAGAAGTAGTTACCTCAATGGTAGAAATATATAAAAGAGAAATTGTGTATAAGGGTATAGTAAGGAAGAAAGAATTAGTCCGCAAAAAGAAAGATACAGAGCGACTTTATTCTCACGGTCTAAGGGGAGACAGAGAGTGTATACACCGACGCCATTGTGATCGATTCTGAGCCATTTCACACAGTCTCCAACCATTGGTTACGATAGTCACGTGGACCCCAACCAAGTAGTCTGTAACAACTTAGGTTGGTTGGTTAGGAGTTCACTTCAAACAACTAAGCGTATGTCAAAACAGTATAGTTCAAGTATTCATTCACTTCCTTATTTTGTGTAGGCGTTATATTTCCTATTATCTTGTGTTGAATGTTGAGAGGCTTTGTTTATCTGAACAAATAATCCCACGCTCCACTGTGACAGAGCGAAGATCTAAATAAAGACCTATTCACTACTTGTCTGGTTTTTTCTATCAATATCACGAGTATTACCTGGAGGCACGAAACTGGTGAGCCCTACTGAATACAAATTTAACCTCATTTTTGTTATTAATATTATATTTTTATTTAGTCGTAAAAGTAGACCTTCTGATTATCCGTAAACTAAATTGTGCATAAACATAGTATTTTATCTTAGGGTATTCGTTATGTAGTACCTTTTTTGCTAATTTCATTAATATATTGGTCACATAACTCATGTCAAACTCAATACAAACCCAAAACCTGGAGGATTTGTCACCAGTGGAGATAGACACTGTTATGACTACGAAATCCCGACTTCCAGTGATCCTAAGTTGTGGTTTGCTCAACTAGAGCATTATTTCACGAGACACAATATCAAATCTGAAGGGATTCGCTATAGAGACTTGTGTTCTATCATTCCTCCTTCAGTCTCCAAAGAAGTCCGTGACTTGATTTTAAGTCCACCACAACCATAAACCATCTTAAGAAGAGAGATAATGAACCGTTTATCATTATCAGACAGTCAAAGAATTCAAAGGCTTTTCCAAGGAGAAACACTAGGTGATAGGTCGCCGTCACAGTTTTTACATCACTTTCAAATCTTAGTGGGTGATAACATAGTGGGTAAAGAAGTCCTAAAACAAGGATGAATACAAGCTCTCCCATGCTACGTCCAACACTGTTTGGATGCACAAGATCCTGAAAATTCCTTATCGCATTTAGCGCGCATAGTCGATAGAATAATGGAAAGAGGTCCTCAAACTGGATCACGCACGATAAATCACACACAAAAAGAAGAACCAGCAAAAGACCCAGTCATAGAAGGACTCAGTGCGAGTGTGAAAAGTCTCACTGAGACTATCACCAGAATGCAAATGGGTCAGAGAAACAGGAGCCGGTCACCACAAAGAACAAGACCCAAGTAAAAAACAGGTCACAATTGTCCAGACAATCTGGGCAGTTCTACTGGTATCACTGGAAGTTTGGCGTCAACTCAACCAAGTGCATGCAACCATGCGCCTGGCCTGAGCAAAATTCCAAGAAAGCGGGAAACGAGTAACCCCTCCCCAGGTCGCGACCTGAGGAGGGGCGCCTAAACAGTCGCTTGTTTTATATTGGAGACAGGAACTCTGACTTGAACTTCCTGGTAGATACTGGCGCTGCTCTTAGTATCATCCCTCAAAATAAAACTGAGATTAGTCGAGAAACACCCACAATTACACTTCAAGCTGCCAATAAAAGACATTTAGGCAGAAAACTTTAACACTAGACTTCGGGTTCAGGAGGCGATTCCCCTGGGTTTTCGCTGTAACTGATTTAGATCTGGCAATACTGGGGATGGACTTTCTAGAGATACGAATTTCTAGCTGACACTATTAAAAGACGCTTAACACTGAAAAAAACTTCAAATTACACAGAAGGCAAAGGAAGTCACATCACATCTCTTAACTTGATTCAAACTCCTCCAGTAACAACTGCGAAATTCCAAGATATACTCGCGGAATTTCCAAACTTAACTAGACCGAACCCACAGCCTTTCAAGGACAAACTAAAAGTAAGTCATACTGTCGAAACCGGAGGTGCACCTGTGTTTGCAAAACCCAGGAGACTAGCACCAGATAAGCTCAAAATCACCAGGGTCGAATTTGACTGTATGCTACAACCAGGTATTATTTGTCCCTCTGATATTCAATGGCGACATTGCGGGGATTACAGAGCCCTCAACCGTCAAACCGTACCAGATAGGTACCCAATACCACATATCCAAGATTTCACAAACGATTTACGGGGTATGAACATATTTACTAAAATTGACTTAGTCAGGGCATATCACAGTATCTCGGTGGCTGATGAAGACATCCCCAAGACATCTATTACTACACCTTTTGGCTTATTTGAGTTTGTACGCATGCCATTTGGCCTGAGAAGTGCGGCACAAACATTTCAAAGTTTCATGGATAACCTACTTCGAGATATGCCATTTGCACAGGGGTATACAGACCATTTGTTAATTGCCAGCCCGATTTACAATCGCACGAACAGCATGTACGAGCAGTGTTAAAAAGACTGGTTGAACATGGAATGGATATACATCAAAGTGTGTTTTCGGTGTTCGAACTCTAAGACTTTTCGGTCACACAATAAGCCCAGAGGGGATTACACCGATCAAAGAAGTGGATACCATCAAACAATACCCCGTACCTAGTTTTCTAACACAACTGAGAAGTTTTCTAGGCCTAATTAACTTCTATCGCAGATTCATACCAGGTTGTGCACAATTAATGCAACCTTTGACAGATTCACTCAAAGGAAAACCAAAAGAATTCAAACTAACTTCTGACGCCATTGAATCTATTAAACAGCCTAAAGATAAACTGGCTCAAGCAACTACGTTGATATATCCGAATTCTCTTTCCCCACTTGCTTTGATGGTGGATGCTTCAGATAAAGCAGTAGGCGGTACCCTTAACCAACTGGTTAAAAACGCCTGGAAACCAATCGCTATCTTCTCAAAAAGACTCGCCCCAGCAGAAACAAGGTATTCTACCTTCGGGCTAGAACTTCTTGCAGTCTACCTGACCATTAAACACTTCCGACACATGTTAGAAGGCAGAGAATTTATGGTTTTTACGGATCACAAACCACTAACGAATGCATTAAAAGCGAGAGCCGATAAACACTCACCTAGAGAAGTCTGACACCTTGACTATATATCACAGTTCAAAAGCGATATCCGACATGTCGAAGGTCAGGACAGTCAGGCGTCAGATGCTTTATCCAGACTAGAAATGAACGTGCTACAGCAGTCTACAGTAAACTTCGAGACTTTGAGACACGAACAAGAGCAAAATCTAGAATTACAAAACCTACTTAAAACAAACAATTCAAGTCTTAATTTAAAACAGTTTCCATCACCTATCGATGGTATCCTAATTTACTGTGACACGACCAAGGCAATGCTGCGACATTTCGTTCCCAAAAGTATGCGAAAGTTGATATATAATAACTTTCATTCGTTGTCTCATCCTGATGCAAAAGCTTCAATTAAGCTAATCAACGCCATATATGTATGGCTGAATTTACAGAAGGATGTACACAAGTGGGTTAGAGAGTGTTCAGCATGCCAATAATCAGAGGTTAATCGTCACACAAATTCACCCATAGGTGTTTTCTCGCAACCAGATGCACGTTTTGCCTATGTGCAAGTCGACTTGGTAGACCCTTTACCACGTTCGAACGATTTTAATTATCTGTTTACATGCATAGATCGGTTTACCGGATTCCCTATAGCCATCCCGATAGCGAACATCACAGCGGAAACAGTAGCCAAGGTTTTCATGCAGAACTGGGTAACCATTTTTGGTACGCTCATAACAATAACGACTGATAGAGGAGCGCAATTTGAATCCGAACTATTTAATAACTTGGCTAAACTTCTAGGCTCCAATA